AATGAATCTTAAAGAAACTCAATTAAAAATGTTTAACCTCTGAGAATCCACTCTGCTTTAAATATAAAATATCAAATGTGATAGTATAATGAACAAACCAAATTAGACATAATAGTCTTTTTCAATCTAAAATAAAGTGATAATACATGAAAAGGAAAGTACATTTTTATAACATTTAACTTTTTTTAAGTTTATGGTGGGTTTCATTACTTTTCTACAACCTCCTTATCTAAATTCTTGGTTATTCCAAGACCTGGGTACAGTACAGACGCTATAAGCTGTCACAGTCAAATTGTTCCCTGAATTTCCTTTTATGCTCTAAAATGCATACCCCTCTTCTAATTGGATTTTCCAAATTATACCTAGAAAACCAGCTGGGTTGAAAAAGAGTAACTTACCTCCATTAAGCTTTATCATCAGGTCACCAAGGGCAGAAGCAGGCACTTGAACCAGAGCTCAACAGGCTCAGGATGGCTGCAGACCAGAAGTCCAGGACATGGTAGCTTGCTAAGGATGGGCTCAGAGCATGACAGAAGGAGGAAAAGTTCAGGAGCTGGGGAGAATGGGCAAAGCCAGAGTGAGGTCTAGCAGATTCCGTGACAGTTTGTCGGTTGCTTTGATCATCATTAGCTTAAGAGAAAGAGAAATCTTGAGTGGCATGGCCTACCTGCCCACCCTTTTTTTGCAGGGAAGGGGGAAAGCAACTTATTTAAATTTGAGGTGACAATCTAATCTTTTTTTTTTTCGACAGTCTAATCTTAAGATTTACATTGTCCCATTTCTGAACTAGGGGCCTCTACAAAATAGGAAATCATCATCATTTGTCCATAAGTCCATTCTCATTTCACATGAGAAATCTTCACCTCATCCCTCATGATCCCATCACAGCATTGAGACCCCATTTAAGTAGCTTTAATAGAGAGATATTCCACCTCTCAGAGCTCATATTCCATTGAAACAGCCCCTACTCTTATGTCTGAGAAAGTAGCAAATGCCCAGGAAAACCCAGGCTGTAAGGAAGTACTTAACAGTACCTGGCACATAGTGAGAACCCAATAAATGGTAAGAGCTATTGAGTTGGCCAAAAATTTCATTTGTTTTTTTCCGTAAGGTGGCTCTAATAGCATTTAGTTGTCCCTAACTTCATTCAAAACAATTTGGTTAGATTGTATTGTGACAGCTGTCATATCAGCATGCATTTTTTAAAAACTTACCAAAATTGGTGAATCTTTGTATAGCCATTTTAATATTGAAGATGGATAAAAATATGCAACATTTTTGGCATATTATGCTTTATTATTTCAAGAAAAGTAAAAATGCAACTGAAACACATAAAAAAAGATTTGTGCAGTGTATGGATAAGGTGCTGTGACTGATTGAACATGTCAAAAGTAGTTCGCAAAGTTTCTTGCTGAAGATTTCTTGCTGGACAGTGATGCTCCACAGTCAGGTAGACCAGTTTAAGTTGATAGCAATCAACTGAGACATTAATTGAGAACAGTCAATGTTACACCATGCAGGAGATAGCCAACATACTCAAAATACCCAACTCAATAAGGTTATTGGTGAAAATGAAAAATATGTCTTTTATTTTGCAGAAAAAACTAAACAAACTTTTTGGCCAACTCAATGTTGTTGCACTAACATTGGTATAGTAAATGGTTTACAAAACTTCTGCTCCCTAAAATTAACTTTTTGACTTAAAATATAATGGGATATAAGTAGCTGTTGACCTTCATGGACTCCAAGAGAGCTGAATATAAATTAAAAGTTCACTTTTCCATCCTCTAGACTCCAAAGACATTACAGAGAAGTCAGTTGTTTTCTCTTTTATGCTTCTTTTATGTAGCATCTAGCAGATATTTTTATCATAGCTTTTATTACACTGGATTATATCCTTCATTGTGTTGTAACTATTTGTTTTCATATCTCTTGCCCATTATCTGGTAACTTCTTAGAGAAAAAGATTGTCTTATTCATCTTTTTAACTACACAAGCCTACCACACTATCAAAATTTAATAAATACCAGGTAAATTAGCAGATGAGTGAATGAATTAATAAATGGCCTGTGCCAGGCAATGCACTGCACCTTCTCTCTTCTGATTGGAGAACAGAGAAGCTGCTATTACTGTGGATTGGGCTTGTTCAGAAGGGAAGAGAGAAGTTGTAGCTTTAAAGGCCTTCTTTTCAGCAGGGAACCTAAGTGGTGTGGGTATCTGACTGCCTCTCTCCTGTCACACCACACTAACAAGCCCCTCTGCTCTCCTTTGAATGAAGATTAAATATTACAATTTGAGGTTTGGGCACTGGTGCTGATTTCAGAAGTTAATTTGATAAAATATATCAACAAATTGTTTGTCAGGCTTCTGAACCAAAGACTTAATGTCAAGATGTTGGGTAATTTCTAGATGTTCCTTTCAATTCCAGCTGTTTTAGATCTGTTTATGTAGGGTTTTTTTCCTAAGATTGAACTCTTATCTTTACTTAGTAAGACCTATTAATCTTTTGTAGGGGGGTATTTTTTCTTGCCATATAGTTGAGCTGTTTGACAAAGCTCAGCAGAAACTTAGTGTGAAATGTAAGATCTTCTCCCACAGTCATTGATGTCCTCTACAACATTTGCATACACTAGAAAATGCCTTCAGTTTGTTTTTTTACCAGAATTTTGGTACTAGTCAGAAGTTTATACCAAAAAAAGAAGACTCTACTTCTCAGATATAGAGGATGAGCGATGCTGGCACAGCCACACCTGGGGCCACATGCCTTCTTCATGTCACTCCACAAGAAAGGGGAATATGCCCTGTAGGACCTGTTTGCCTGCTGAAAGCTAAGGAAACAGGAAAAGTTCCATATTAAATGCTACCCTGATTTAGCTTTCATTCTCTGCTGTAACCTCTCAGTGAACATGAGGAAATGGCAATGAAAATTGCCAGATTATCTCATTAGGGGACTAACTGGGCCTAAAGCTAGTTCAGGCATCAAGTGGATAAATTTGACTGCCCACCTCACTTAATCTCATTTCCAGTGTCACCAAGAAGCTTCCACTTTTCTAAAAAGGTACTTGAAAGCTAAATCCAAACTTCCACAGCTGTCCTCCTGGCTCTTATCATTGCCACCTCAGACCAGTGACCATCTCTCAAGAGCTACCATAGCTCAAAGGCTTGCACAGCTCTGTTGGAATACACCACACAGTGCTATATTCATGATGTGCCTTAATCTTCTCTTCTAGCTTTAGTTCTCACTTCTTCCCACAACCGTGTACACTAGTTGCCAAATTATTTACGTTAAGTGTCCTGTGGTAGCTCCCTTGAACATCTGTTCTTACATTTTCTCAGGTTCCTCCTCTTGCCTAGGTATATACCTTGACTGCCCATGATGTGTGAATTGCTTAGTACTGTGCCTGGAACATAGCTATTGCTTACAAAAATAGCAGGTATCATTATTAATATCTCCTTGCTTCAATTCTTAAAAAAGAGAGTATGTCATGTTCCCACTAAAACAAACCCTTGATCCTCATGCTTATACTCCAAATCCCTATCAAATTTTCATCCCTGGTAAGCTGAGCTACACCATGAAATAGTAAAAGTCAATGTCCCCAAACATATCCATGGTGATAGTAATCAGTACAGTGGTTGCCTCTGGGAGATGGGAATTAACAAGAAGGGGGCATCAGGGAACTTCTGGGATGATGGAATTGTTCTCTATTTTGATTCAGGTATTGGTCATATGAATGTATATATTTGTTCAAATTCATCTAGTTATACACTTAATATCAGTGCATTTTGCTGTCTGTAAAATTTATCTTAATTTTTAAAAGTCAGAATCCTATTGTATTCCCCTAAATCAGGTGTCAAAATCTCAAATGTCTACATGAGCTTGGCAGGTAAGGTAAGTATGTAGTGGGCTGGGTAGAATACAATAGGGAGAGCTGAGGGATGCTAGCACACTGGAGAGAGTATAGTCTTTTTCTAGATCACATGGACAATACATGCACAAGCAAAGTCTGTATTTAGTAGGCACCTCAGGTGTTTTGATTATTAGTCAAGTTTGTGATACACTGTGCTGTCACAGAGTTATTAATACTCTCCAAAGTGGGATACACAAGATGATCTATTGAAATGTTAAGAAGATAATACTTAGAACTTTCTTCTATTATTTTTCATGTTCATGTTTTTTTCTTCCTCATTTCACTTTAAAACATACAAAAGAACCCACAGAATGGAATATACTACATTCATCTTGGATCTTCTGTGCCAAGTCAAGCAACTGAGGTTTGAAGTATAGCACATTCCGGAGACTGCAGTGAGTAGACAGACATGACGCAGGGGTCGGCACTCCTCCACTGGTGAGACTCAGCCTCCATGGAAGAAAGCAATACTGCTACAACCATTGTAAGTGAGGAATAAGCTGCACTGCACATTTCATTCTGAAGGAAAAGGGGAGAGCACCATGGAAATCACACCCTCTCCAATTCTAAAGTGCAAGCTGAATTCAGTGCTAAGTGATTCTCTGCAAAAGAAAAATGAGCTAGTATGTGTGTTTGCAGTGGAGAGAGGAGGTCTTCCCAAGGCCTGTGATCTAGCCAGGCCACTGAAGCAGCTGGGATAATGATACAGTGATGTGCTTGTTCAGAGAAGCATGCCAATTTGATCAGCAGACCAGTGTGGTAGCAGGCAGGTACACCTGTAAAACAAAGGTGAAGGCAACCCCTCTCTGGCTTGGCAGGTCAGAGAGCACAGAACCACAACTGTAGGTTCCAATGTGCCTAGGCAACTCCCCACACTGGCCTCGAAAGCCACTAGTCCCAGCAGGACATGGTACATACCTGTGTTAGTGCCCCACTCCATCCTGTTGGTTGGACAGGTAGTCAGAAAGGACTAACTTCCTTCCACTTCAATAGAATCAGAAAATCCAGAGAAACCCAGAGATAGCACCCTGCTTAGTCCATTAATTAAAATAAAGCTTCATTGCTCTAAACAAGACCCAGTATAACAGTTGCTTAAGCAAGAATGAAGTTTATTTATCTTACATAAAAGTCCAAACTTATATTGTGGCTCTTGTTTGCAGAGTCGGTAGTCTCCCGGCTGCCTTCTGTCTACTTGCTCCTCCATCTCTAGGATGTTGCTCTTACTTACATGATCCAAAATGCCCACATGTGGCCAGTTAAAAATTGATTACTATGAGAAAAGAAGGGAAAATTGTTTTGAGGACATCCACCATTCTCTGATTCACTATAACAACAGAAGTCCAGCCCTGCAGCATGAAACCAAAGGAATCAAAAGGCAGTCTCATAGTTTGTGAAAAATAAAAGGGTTTTCCTACACTCCAGAAAGCAATTTTTAAAATCAGGCTTTTTGAGCTCAGAACATTGGATGCCAAAACTCCATAGTTTCTGGACAAGGACATGGAAAAATCCAGTCAGGGGGTTTGTCTGTCCTGAGCAGCACAACACAAATCATATGTAAATGCGATGGTATTGATGGCGGTCAATTTTTTTCAAACAAACCGGGCAATTTTTAGTATATTGAAGAAAAGTGCAGAGGCACCGACTACAGAAGATGTGGCCACATTCTGTAGAGTAAATGTGTTGTCTACTCATTTCAATCTCCAAGTACCCATCCATACAAATTCGGCACTGAATATAGCCAGGCAGTGTGCAACTTAAAGTTTCTTTTTCCGGGGCACTACGGTGAGCACTGTTGGTCACATTTACATCTCTGTTCCTCGTCAACCCCTTCTTTTCACTGCTCTCTGCACAGATGCCAATTTGGCTTTGGAATGACCTTCTGTTTCTACTTGGCCTCCTCCTTTCCTCAGTAATCACAACAGAGTCATGGTGAGTTAAGTCAATCACTGCAGGTTCTAGAGATTCAGAGGTGAGGTCGACCACTTCATCACTTTCTCCAACTTCAATCAGTTCTGCTCCCAAGATTATCTCAGCAGTTGGGCCTTCTTCCCCAGTTATATAAAATTCTCCAGCTTCTCTGGAATTCATGGTGCTAGTATCACATGTACTTGCATTCATCGTGCTTTTTGGATCCAGTCTTCAGAGCAATAAGTGACCTATGCCAACATTTACAGTGACTGTTAAAGCCCTCCGTGTCTCACAGCTGTTGGTCAGTCACTCTCTGACTTACATAAGAATTTAGAATCCAGATTTTTGGACATATCTGAACAGTGATTTTGGTTCCAGTCCTGTATCCACCTCCACAATTGCTGTGCTCTCTTAGGGATGAGGGGAGTGAATCGTCTAGGAGCCACTTATAAGACAACTCAATCTGAATTTTTAACTGAAAAATAAGAGAAAAATTAAGCTTCAGTAATATTTAAAATAAGATTGGTAGTAGTATAAAATGTTTAGATATATAAAGAAAAATGCATAGTCAAATTTTTTTGATAGTTATGCATTTAAACAAAGCTTAAGCTTTGTGTCCATTCTCATTCTATGTCCTGATGGTAGGGGGAGAAGGAAAGCCTGAGGGGCACTTACATGAAGAGAAGTACACAATCATAAACACCAAGAAAGGTTTGCAACTTCATGCAAGATCCATTATGAGGGATTCCAGGAAATACTTTTTTACCAAGTAAATATGGAGAGGCCAAAACGCTCTATCCATATTTGAGTTTCTAATAGCAAATAAGAAATGAATTATTTAGTTCATGTAAAGGTTCATCTTGCCCAGGCTTCGCCTTCTAATAGAGACAGCAAGTGGAGTTTTGAAGAATTTTAGCACAGATTCTGTTCTAGGAAAGAGGGGATGGATTCATCATAGAGAGACTTGATTTGAGTAGACTCTCTGTGACTTTTGGGTATGTGACCTAGATGGTTAAAGTTCTCAAAACTTTATAAAAGTTCTATAAATTATTTTGTGATTTTAAAATAATGTATCATTAGTCATTAAGAAAATGCAAATCAAGGCCATAATGAGATACCATTTCACACCTCCTAGGATGGCAATAATAAAAAAGATAATAGCCCTGGCTGGTGTGGCTCAGTGGATAGAGTGCTAGCCTGTAAACAAAAGGGTTGCCGGTTTGATTCCTAGTCAGGGCACATGCCTGGGTTGTGGACCAGGTCCCCAGTTGGGTGTATGTGAAAGGTAATCACACATTGATGTTTCTCTCCCTTTCTTTCTCCCTCCCTTCCCCTCTCTCTAAAAATAAATAAATAAAATCTTTTTAAAAAGATAGTGTTGGGGAAGATATAGAAAAGTTGGGACTCTCATACACTACTGGTGGGAATGTAAAATACTGGTGAGAATGTTTAAATAGGGAACATAAAATAATGTGGCAGCTTTGGAAAACAGTTTTGCAGTTCCTCAAAAGGTTAAACATGGAGTTAGCAGATGACCCAGCAATTCCACTCCTATGTTTATACCCAGAATTGAAAACTTAGGTTCACATGGAAAGCTTGTACATGAATATTGATAATAGCATTCAAATTATTCATAATAATGAAAAGTGGAACAACCCAAATGCCCATTATCTAATGAATGGGTAAACAAAATGTGGCATATCCATACAATGGAGAATTATTCAGCAAAAAAAAGGAACAAAGTGATGATGATACTTGTTATAGTATGGATGACTTTTGAAAACTTCATATTGTGACAAGCCAATCACAAAGATCACATACTGTGTGACATTTATATGAAATGTCAATAATAGGCAAATCCATGGGGGGACTGCTAACGGGTACAGGGTCTCTTTGAGGAGAGATGTAAATGTTCTAAAATTAAGGCGATGATTATACAACACTGTGAATATACTAAAACCCACTGAATTATATACTTTAAATAGGCAAGTTATATGGTTTGTGAACTATATCTCAATCAGGCTTTACCAAAACAAACACACAAGCTGCCATAGAAATGTTACACAAAACAGCTGGCACGATCTGGATTTACACACAAGCCTTAGAACCTGGTTGGCACTCGAGAGGAAAATGGGGTGAGCCCAGAAGATAGTGCAGTGCTCAGCGCTTCATCAGATGTGCTGACCTACTTACGGAAGCAATACTTTTCTTAGATTCCATAGACACTTGCCTCGTGTCAGATCCTCACATCACCCTTTACGAATTCGCCTTTCGCAACCTGCGGGCCTCTCTCCCTTCGCGAGGAGCCCAGGGAAAGCGCACCATCCGGGATGAGGCTGGGCAGCCCAGAAAGCAGTGCCCCCACCCGAAACCCGACTCACGCATCCAGTTACTCACCAATGGCCTGCTTTCCGCTTCACCGTGCCCAGATAGCTATCCAGAGATAATGGAGCAGGAAGCGTGTGCTCAAGTGGTGCACGTCGTTCGGGGATCTCCGCGGCTTCCCGGTCCAGTCCCAACAGCTGACCACGCTGAACCAGGGTGCCTGGCTTCACTAGGCAGGGAAGGCTGACTGGAGTCACAGAGCCAGGGAGAGCCAATAAATAGAAGGAAGCAGAGGGAGAGGACAGCCCAGCAGGCGGTACGCACCTCTAATGCACCCAGGCTGGCGGTGGCGCCCTGAGAAAAAGAGTCCAAGTGACAAGCTGAGGAGTCACAGCACCTATTCCCGCCAACTGGGTAGCAGAAAGCACTGGGGTTTTCCCCGTTTTTAACCGCTTTTTGCTTTTCAACAGCCCAATCAAATCCCTAGCCCGGAGTGGTTCGTCACTGGTTTCTGGGCAAAAAGTGCTGTTCCAGGATACAAAGGGGATTTCCCGTCCTTAGTTTCCTGTTTGTCCAAGGTGTCATGCTTTCTGAGAAACGGGGAGGGCGGGGTTGTTGTGTTTTTTTTTCTTCTTCCCTTTCACCCTAGTCATTGAATTCATTATTATTATTTTAATCCTCACCCAAGGATATGCTTATTGATTTTTAGAGAGAGGAGGCTGGGGGTAGGGGGTGGGGCGGTGAGAGAGAAACATAGATCAGTTCCAGGATGGACCCCGCAACTGTGCCCTGGGAGGATGGAACCCTGCGACCTTTTGGTGCACAGGAGGATGCTCCCTCCAACCAACAGAGCCACCCAGCCATGTGCTCTGGTGATTACATCAGTAACTCCCCACTCTAGAAAAGTGGTTCTCAGTGATGGCAGTATGTCTCTCAAAGAAGTTTTGTAAATTAATAGGGCTATTTTGGGTTGTTCCAATAATGGGGTTACTACAGGTACTTAGGGGCTGAGGGACAGGAATCCCAATTTACACACACACACACACACAAAATGTATGAAAAATCTGCTTATAATCTGGGCTTTATAGTCACATAAAAACATGTTTTATTGTTCAATTATTTAAATTTATTTCTTGAATATTTATTGACCATCTACTATGACAGGCCCATACACACAGAATTTTCCAGGGATGCAAGTACAAGGCAGCTCAAAGGAAGATGTATTTTTTAGGTTTTTTTGTTTGTTTTTCAAATTTTACCTAGAGATTTTCACCATTTCAGAGAATCACACCACAACCAGCCTTCAGTGTCATAGTTTAGGCTGTAACAGAAAACAAAAAGCATTTATTTGAGCAAAGGATTCCAATACACGAGACACAGATTCAAGTAGCAATTCAAACTGCACTCTGGAGAGAACAAAGAAAGGTAGGATTCATAAAGGCAAAAAACACAAAATGCAAAGGAAGGCTTGCTGGCTAGCTTAACAATGATTGGTTAGTTCCAGTACACAAATGACAGAGGCAAAAACTACAGGAAAGGAGGTAAAGTCCATGTGTGTCTGTTTGACAGTTGTTCCAGTACATTTATGGCTTGCTAACCTAAAAAAAAATAAAAGGCTTTTCACAATAAGAGGCAACAAGTATTTATTTCAGATAAAATAAATAAATGGAATAAAAGAATAGTCAGTAGCCACTGATTCAGGCAGAAACCCAAACAGTGTTAGATTAAGAGACAACAGCAATGGTTATTGATGAGAAAGGGAAGAGGAATGATTACATTGATAAAAGGAAGGCATTTCTATTGGTGCAGCTAATGTAGTGATGTCAATTTTAAACGTTTTTAATTTTCAGTCCCGTAATCATCAGCCCTATAGTCATAAATATCTACTTTCTTGTTATCCTTGCAAACAGTTTTTTGGGACACAATGTTGCTTTATTTATTTATTTATTTATTCCATTTTATTTTTCCACTATCAGTTCACAGAGATCCAGAACCAGTGCAAGCATCTGGGCACTTCTTTATACCAGCCAGTGCAGCCAGGCTATAACACTCAGGTACTAAATTGCTTGGCTTTCATAATCAAATTAGTAAAGGGGACATAATGAGACAGTTTTTATAAAAAGGAGGTGTTGGGAAAAAGAGGAGGTGTAGGTGTTGGATCTCATTGGAACTGAAACCTCTGATCTACACTGGAGTCCTGTGGACTGTGCCCAACTCAGTCTACCAAGCCTGACCTTGAGTACTGACTCCTTATCCTTAGACATACAGCAGATAAGTCTCTAATACACAGGTCACTTGCTTACTGTGCAGTTAGTGGTTAAGAACTCTTCATTTTATAGAAAAAGAAACTGAAACTAGGAAAGGTCAAAAGATTTGAAAAAGAATGAACTGTGACAGAGGCAACACTAGAGGCTCCTGAAAATGCAGTTAGACTTGGTGAATTCTTTGAACAAAACCATTTCCAGAAATCCCGTGACTGCTAGAGGAGAGCTCTGCTTATAGACTTACCTTTGGAAGAACTGTCCAGAGTGAGGACCATGTTTAACCTAAAGCTTTTTAGGGAAAGGAAATCCACCACAGTATTTTTGTTTGGTCTGTTGGTTTTGTTTGTCTGTCTGTCTGTTTGTTTGTTTGTTTGTTTGTTTTTTCACCAACTAAATGCCAAGAAATTTCGCCTTATATCTCTTTGCTGTGATTTTAGATAATTTTATGTTCTAGAAATCTGTGAAGATGAGCAACCACTGGAAGTAAAAGCAGTTACCTACAGCTTTACATTTTATAGTGCCCTTCTTATCATTTTCCCCTTGTCAGAACATCACTGGAACTGTGCCTGGCACAGAACAGACATTCCATATTTGTTGAACAAATGATTAAGTGAATAAATAAATGAACTTTATGATGTAGGAATAATGATACCATTTTATGGATATAGTGATGAAGAGTCAAGCCAGGAATACATGAATTTTCCTATTCCTTTTTGGGAATTAGGATTCAAATTCAGGTCTGAGTTCAATGGCATTAACACTTCAATGCCAGCTCCTTAGAAACTTTGAACTTTTAATTGAAGTTTGGGATGGCATGTGTTGTGGGCTTAGCAGAGGATGTTAACAGGAAACTCGAAGTAGCAGACCAATGCCCCTCCCTGACTCTATGAGCCCATCCCCAGCTTTTTCATATTTTGCTGCCAACAATTGGCACCTGCACATTATCCCTAGTCCTGCAGATTACTTTTGGATACTGAAGTAAGCTGGAAGCACCCAGGAGTTTTATGATTCACGCCACTTCACACTGCTGGACAGCCTGTAGCCTCAGACAGGAAAACCCAGCTCCTTTGCTTTGGGGCAGAACAAACTCCAAGATTTGTTCTTTGTTCTAGAGTTCCCCATGGGAACAGGCTGAGTGTGGGACTACTTCTGAAATCACACCCTCACTTAGCTCCTACCCATTTCCTACTCTTTACCCCCTACTCCTTTGTTGGTTTCTCCTGAGAGCCCTTTCTCAGTAAGTGACTTGCATCCGAACCCCTGGCTCAAGGTCTGCTTTTGTAAGAACTAGACCTAAGACACTCACTGACTCTTCCAGTAATGAAAATAGCATGAACACTTGAAGTCAGCTGCAGCTACCAGTACATAGAAAACCACTTCAAATAGCACCATGTTTTTTTGTGCCTGCAAGAGTCCTCTCTGTGTTTTTCTAAGTGAAAACAGTAAAGAGGAAGTGGCCCATGGGGGAGGGGAAGCCTGCCACATCACTCTGGCCTACAGTTGAGCCTGTGTGCTGTAGAGACATAAATATGTCTTCATTTTCATAGACTTTGTAATTATCTATGTTGTGGAAGACCAAAGAAGACAAATAACTGCATCCAACTAATGAGAGAAGATGTATAGAATTTAGTGCATAATAAATACTTGATACTAATGTTGTAGCTCTCCAAAGTATCAGAATAATTTTTAATCCATAAAGTTTCCAGTCAAGGTAGTCACAGATACTTTATTATTTTACGATATCTAGGATCTCAATGTTAGTCTTCATTTTTTTCCCTAAAAGCCCAGGGTCCATGGAGAGACAAGGCTAATTTTTGCTCCTAAAATCTTAAAGGCTACATCACAAATGAAATGTTTATTTTATGAAAGAAAGACCTTGAGTTTTACCTCAAGAATTTACAATATATAAAAGGTAAGTAAAAAGCAACAGCCCACAAGATTGGGAGAGTGGTTGTTGACAAAAACTAGAGAAAAACATTTGCCTGTACTTTATATTGTTTCTATTTATCCCATGTTTTCCTTAGAGATGGTGAAAAAATGATATATAAAAATTATTTTAAAGTATTTTAAATAAATATGATGATAACAATAACAGTTTTACACATAGAATAAACAGAAATCTGAGGAGCTAAACACACCCAAATGAACATGATAAGTGATCATTTCTGGTTGGTGGGATTACCAAATTTTCCTTTCTGCCTAAACTTCCTAATTTAAAGAATAATGAACATAAAAGTTATAATACTTCAAATCATAGAATATGCAGAATAATATTGTTAAATGTCTTTTATCTTTCCCCTGCCATCGTAGCCCCTGTGCCAAAGTAAACATTATTAAGAGGTTGTTGTATATATTTCTGAAACTTTTCCTGTGGGTTTATCTGCTAAGAGAGATTGGGGGCGGGGACTAAAAGGGCTAATACAGTTTGTTCAGAAGTAGCACCTCAGTTTAGAGTGCCAGAGATAGGAAAACACTAATGCTCTGATAGGATGAGCAGGATGTCTGCCACTGCTGCCAACAGTCGAGTGCCACTCTTGAGGAATATTATACACAGACCACTAAGTTATAATCACAGTCTCATCTCTTGATGTTTTCCTTGGAGGTCCTTGGGACAACAGAGCAGTTTCAAGTTAAAACTGCTGAATTCGGAACAAATATAAAGGACACATGGACAAAAACTGGCGGGGGGGGGGCGGGGGGTAATGGGAGGGAAGTGGGGAGAGATAGGTGGGTGGGCTGGAATGGGAGTAAAAAGGCAGAAAACTGTACTTGAACAATGATTAAAATTTAAAAACAACTGCTGAATTCTAACTCACATTTCTGGGTTGTTGTTGTTGTTTCACTCTCCCTTCCAGATGCATTTTTCCCCTTTACCTTGGTGAACTGGCTTAAGCAATCACACCCTCCTTACAGCTTTTTCTCACTGTCCCTTCCTTTGGTCATTTAAATATGGGGTCTTCTCAGGCTATCCTTAAAGATCTAGAGCCTGCATCAAAACATATGCTGTCAATATGCTGGGAATCAGCACCAGGAGAGCCCAACTTGCTTGTGGGTAGCAGAGGAAGTGACTGAAAGCAGGGCAAGAGCTGAGCAGGCGGCACTGTTCCCTCTCAGACCCCTCCCCCACATACAGGGCCACAACAGAGCAGAGTGGGTTGCCCCACCCTGGTGAATAC